ATGCTTATAAAATTTTAAAAAATTTGAAAAACTGAAACTTTGGCATAAGACGTTTTAAGTTAGGTATAGACAAACCAGTTCGAACCGTTTTACTTCCTTATGTTTCAAGTTTTGTGCCCAAACCTATGACTTTGTATGCATGTTTATCTTGATGGCCTAATTGTAAAGAGATGTCAAGAAGTTATTGCGTGACTGAATTTTCTTAAAAGAAGCGGAACTTTATTTGTCGGTCTGAGATGACTATTTAATGTCGTCTTCAGCTTGTCATCAAGTAAACGTCCTTCCATGTTTTGAAGTTTTTACTGTAAATACGTAGTATTTACTGGAGCATGGTCTTTGAGTAGTTTGAAGTTACTGAGCATTGGTTGTTTTATGTAAATAAGGACTTTCTTGATAATGCTGTATATATACTTTTTGGGCTGGGCAGGGTAGGGTGACGTAGAGTAATAACGGTAGATGAGGGTAAGTCAGGGTTCTCTAGAGTAAATTAAAGCCGGGTGAAGCAGGGTAACGCAGAATTGAGAAAGACAGAGCAGAGTAGATTATGACAAAAAAAAGTTGAGCAAGACAGGAAATGGTAAAGTATAAAACATGGCAGGGTAAGTTAAGGTAAAGTAAAGTAGCCTAGGTAAGGTAGGGTAGGGTAGGTTAGGGTTTAAAAAAGTACAACTCGACAAAAAGGCTATTCTGACTAAAAGTTATAACTAAATTATTATTGTAGTTATGATAACTACAAATTAAATACAGTTTAGTAATAAGAAGGCTACTTTTTTTGTAGCCAAGACCATTAGTATAGCCAGACACGTTTTGTTTGAAGTTTATTGTTCTAAAACCTTTAAAATTAAATTCCAATTTCCTTTGTGTTTCGACTGTGGCCGCTAATCCAGTTCCTACAATTTTCAATTCATACGTTTAAACTGAACTGCTTTTATAATATTTCAAATTGCACTTACTAATTTACAGTTTTTTCATTGTGTTTTCAAAATCTATAAAACTCAAAAAAAAATTTTTTTTAAATTAGAATTAAACTAGAATTAAGCTTATTTATGAACGCTTTAAAACGCCAAGCACATCTTTTGTTACGAGAGCGGTGTGGATAAGGTTGCCCAGTGAGCTATCTGTTCCTATATTTGTTTTTTTTTAAATTTTTAACTTTAGTTTTTAGATTTTGTTATTTCTTCGTTAAAATCGTGTTGTAAACTGATGCTTTTAACATAAAAGCACTTATAAAATTTTTGTAGCGTCGTAATGTGCTTTGAAAAATTAATAAACGATAATGATAAAATAATTTTTTCTTTCTTTAAGCTATTTTTTCGTAGTTTACTTAAAATAAGTTTGTAGATTTTATTACTGTAGTAAAACTCTTGTATAACGAATTGGTCGGAAATTTTAAAATTATTTGTTATAATGGAACTTTTGTATACGAGAGTTTTAAAACTCACTGTGTAATATCAGCTGAGTATACAAAACTTTTGTTTTAGAGAAGTTCGTGCTACAGTATTTCTACTAATAATTTTGTTTCAAAGGCTACAGTAAAACTCCTGCGAAATACTTTTAAATTTACTGTTATTTTTGAAAATGTTGATCTGTATAAATTAAAGGCAAACCTTTTTTATCATTTTAACCTGAAAAAAAAGCGTGAGGACAAGTATTTTATTTTTTGCTGTTTTTACGGTTTTAAACACAATTTGTTTCAGATAACCAACCGTATGTCACCTCAAGTAGTTATGATCAACGACGGTCAAGCCAAAATGTCAGGGAGCAGTGGGAAGTCAACTGGCTCTGCACGTGAGTTTTTTATTATTTTAAAATGTTCAAAAATTCTTGTCGTTAATTTGCATTTATTTGCATTGCAAAAAACGGCAAAAAATTTTTGACATAATTAAATTTCAAAAAAAAATTCTAAAAATGTTAAGACTTGCAAAAATATTTACAGTTTCGCGACAAAATTATCAAAAAATATTGTTATGAAACAAAAAAGACTGGCAATTGCCACTGTCTCAAGTCAAAAGTGTAGTCAATTTGGTCTGTCAATACAGACGACGGATCAGACATCAGGAACTGATATGGGTATAAAAATGGACAGCTGATTGGTTTTGTCTACAAACATTGTCATTTTTTAAAAATTTTAACGGTTTTTAAAGCTGGGAAAATTTCAGGCAGGGCAGGGTCAATAGGTCTTCGCAGGGTTTGGCAACTCTAGTGAGGGCTCGACAGGTCTCGGCAAGGATTAGCAGGGCTCAGCAGAAATTAGAAAGGCTTGGCAGAGTTTGCGAGGGCTTGGCAAGGCTTGGCAGGGCTTAGCAAGGCTTAGCAGGGTTTGACAAGGCTTGAAAAGACTCAGTAGGGCTTGAAAGAATTTGGCAGAGCTGTGCATAGTTCGGCAGGGGTCGGCAAATCCCAGCAAGGCCTGACAGGACCTGACAGTACATAGCAGTGCTTGGCAAAGCAAGACAAACCAGTAGAAAAGAGAAAGTTTAGATAGGGTAGAGTAAAATAAAGTATTTAAAAAAATTTTTTTTTAATTTAAGATTTTTAAAAACGTCAAAAACCTTCTGCCTCCGCGAGCCCACACTCAACCAAAATATTTACGTTTTGGCTTTTATTCTTTGTGATTTTCGAACAGCAATGTGATTGTCTCTTGTTTTGTCTTGGTTCGCCATCAGAAAGGCATTAGATGAGTTCAAAGACAATTGATTCGGCTTTGAAACCAGTCTTTTTGCCACCCGGCTGGTTATAAAAAGGTTATTATGATTTTATGGTGGTGATTTTGGCAGTTTTTAGAATTTATTTGGAGTTGGTGGTTTAGGGGCTTTCAGAGAGGAATATTTTTAGGACAGGGATGGTCATTTTGGTCTGGAGCAGAGACAGGGAGGGGGGGGAGGGGGGGGGGAGGAAGTGAACATTAAAAGTTTTTTTAAAATTTACTTTTCTATACCTTACTTCTACTCTACCCTACCCTCCTTTACTCTACTCTAACCTACGCTACCTTACCCTACCTTACCTTGTCTTATCTTACCTTACCTTACCCTACCTTACCCTACTTTATCTTACCTTATCTTGCCTTATCCTACGTTATCCTACCTTACCCTACTTTGTTTTACCATGATTTATTTTACACTACCTTGCCCTATCCTACCTTATTACTCTATTTTAACCTACTTTTTTTAACTTTAATCTAACTTATTCTACCTTACCATTCTTTGCCCTAACTCACCCTACCTCACTTTGCTCTATCTTATTCTCTTCTTTCCTTCACTGCAAGCCTAAAACATAAATTGTTTATAATACATTTTTACCACTCCATAGTATCCCTTCTTTTTCGTATATAACAATAAAAGGACAGAATGTTCGTTTTTCTCCATACAAAGAACAATTTAAAAACGCACGAATCGAGAGATTTTGACAAGTTTTGTGAATAGTTTTAATAGCGTTCTTCAGGAAATTGACTGGGACCGGGAAAGGTTTGCCACAATTTATCATTGGTTCAGTTTTGCGTTGTTTATATTATATTCCCTGGGCCGCGGTTTAAACAACAAAAGAAGAAAATTCGAGAGGAAATGGAAATTTTGGGTGAAAAATGGGGAAACGTTATCATATAAGTTGTGGAGTAAATTAGGTAAATTTAGAATTTATATTGCAGTAATATCGTTTGTTGTATTTTACAATATTTGATTAAACATCAGTGTAACAGAACTTTTGCGCATCCTGTACAAAATGGATTACTTTGAGAGATTTGATTTTTTTTTCGGATTTTGATTAAAATTTTTTGAATGATTAAGATCTAGCAGGGTAGGATCGGATAGAGTAGTGTAAAGTAAGATAAAGTAAGGCATGATAAGTAGGGTACGGTTGGGTATAAGAATGAGAAACGGCCCGGTCTTGAGCTAAATTTAAATCGGGCCGTGTTTTAAAGTTGGGCTCGGTTCGCGAGCTGGGCTTGAATAGTACTCAAGCTCAAAAAAAATTTAGAATTTTTTAAAATTTTGTGTTTTAATTCCCTGGATTTTTTTTGTGTTATAAGTTGTCTAAAAAGTTTTGAGCCAAACAACAATGTTTAAAAAGTTGAATTTAATTTAATTTTTAATAAATTTTTAAAATTATTTAATAAATTGATGAATGACTACCTATATTTTAACTCTAAAATATTTTATTTTAGCTTTTTACCTTACTTGTCACTTTTATTTTTTAAAAATTGCGGTTTAGCTTAGAACTTTGCGGACAACTTATAATAATATAATAATATTTTTTAACTTTAATTTTTTTTATAATTTGCAAGCTGTTTTTTTCAGTATATTTTGAAATTTTGACGCAGAAAATCATGCCTTTAGAACAACACACAAAATTATGAATGTTTTCTTTTTGCAAAACTTTCACATGTGCTATGGGTATGCAGTTAGTAAAATTGATTTATTTGCATTATGACAATTATGATTTGTGGTCTCTTTTGGCTTTTTCAAACTCTTTCGGTCTTTAAAGAAACAACTTCCTTTAAAACTTCAAAAATGGCAAGAACTTTATTTACAAGCAAAAAAATTGCAAGAACTCTCTTTACAAATCAAAAATGACAAAATTTTTGTTTACAGAACAAAATAACGGAAAGAACTTTCTTTACAAAAGCTAAAACAGCAAAAATTTTCTTTACAAAACAAAAAATGGCAAGTACTTTCTTTACAGAACAACAAACGGCAAGAATTTTCTCTACAAAACAAAAATTGGCAAGAACTTTGCGTAATTTTCTAAAACTCTCTGATTGCTCGTGTAACTTGTTACCCCAGCCTGCCAGAACACAAATTACATAATAAAACTCTTTTTACTATTGTACCTCCTCAGCTCTTGTGCGTCTTGTTTGTCAAAATTTTTTAAAAACTTTTTAAAATTTCTAAAACTGATGTAGGAGTACGTATTTTACACATTTCTATTTTCCACTTTTAATTTTACATTTTTCTCCGCGTAACATACCAAAATGAACCTTTTCTAACTACAGTAAACATTGTAAAATGGAACTGTTGGAAGTTGACAATGAGTTGTCACAATTGTCACGAAGCGGAAGTTTTCGGCAGCAACGGCGCCCTTGTGTCGATGGTAATTGATTGACAAATGTCATATTTGGCAATGATTGACGAATGTCTTCCGACAATTGTCATCATTTGTTTTTGAGAACTTAGTTTTGCGAGTTTTTTGCTAAAAATTGTGGTTTTGTCTCTGAAAATTGATGTTAAAGCTTGTTATTAACTAATTTAAAAATTGCCTGGTGTACGACCCGTATTTTACACATTTTTAAATATGTCTAAGTGTCAAGGTAGCAAGACTGACCAAGGTAGGAGCATAAAAATGGCAAGAACTGGCTTTAGGAATTGAGAAATGGCAAGAACTTTCTTTACAAAACAAAAAATGACAACAACTTTGTTTCCAAAACAAAAATTGGCAAGAATTTTCTTTACAAAACGAAAAATGGCAAGAACTTTCTTTACAAAACAAAAAAGACAAGAACTTTCTTTACAAAACGAAAAATGGCAAGAACTTTTTTTACAAAACAAAAAATGGCAAGAACTTTCTTTACAAAACAGAAAATAGCAAGAACTTTCTTTACAAAACAAAAAAGACAAGAACTTTCTTTACAAAACGAAAAATGGCAAGAACTTTTTTTACAAAACAAAAAATGGCAAGAACTTTCTTTACAAAACAGAAAATAGCAAGAACTTTCTTTACAAAACAAAAAAGACAAGAACTTTGTTTACAAAACAAAAAATGGCAAGAATTTTCTTTAAAAAGCAAAAACTGCAAAAACTTTGTTTACAAAACAAAAAATGGCAAGAACTTTTCTGTTTCTTTTTATTGTTAAATTATAAATTTAAAAAATTAAATTTTTTAAAAACTAAAATCAAAAAAATTTTTTATATGTTATTTTTGCTTTTTAACAATATAATGTCCCAATTTTCAGCCATGATAACCCTGTACGAGCAGCTCCAACTTCAACAAATACAAGCCAATTCGGCTATGTCATCTTCATCTCATGCTCAAGCCATTCAGACGATAAAATGTGTAGTAGAAGGAGATCGTCGAGTTGGTCGCTCATCTCTACTCAAAGTATATACAGGTGAAATGGACGAAAGTTGCTTTGATGAGCCGGTCTGTTCGTCTGAAAACGCTCACAAATGGTCTGTAAATACATATCCAAGCAGAAAAGGAAGTGAGGGTCTGGTGGAAAATGGCGGAGAGGACTGTCTTAATGAAAGTAAGCCAAGCTGGTCTTATTTAAGAGTCTTAGCCCAGAGCCCCAGCCCAGAGCCCTAGCCCAAAGCCCTAGCCCAGAGCTCTAGCCCAGAGCCCTAGCCCAAAACCCTAGACTAGAGCCCTAGCCCAGAGCCTCATCCCACAGCACTAGCTTTAGCTTTAGCATTAGTTCAGCCTTGGTTTTAGTTTTGGCATTATCTTCAGCCCTAACCCCAGATTTACCCCTAGCCCTAGCTCAGCTTCAGCCACAACCAAAATTCTTATTTTTTAATTTTTTTAGGTTTAACTAATGCAGAAAACGGCTATAATAATTTACAAACCATTACAAATTCTTCAAATCATGTACAATTTGAAGAAGTGAATAAAACCAGCTCAACAAACAATGAAAATCAGTCTTCAAACTCTCTAAAAGCATCCTCAAACTCTCCTCAATCTACTTCACCTCTAATCAAATCACTGCAAGTTCGAACGACATCTCCAAACTCTTCTATAACCGAGGTTCCAACCTCTACTAGTGTACAGAAAGGTCTTAAAAACCCACAAAATACCTCAGCACTACGCAATTTTTCGGCCGAACTACGAATGGACGGAAGGCCAATCTACCTGATTATGCATGAAACTGAAGCCGGCTCTGATTTTGACCATCTGAGAAGGCTACACTACGCTGAAACTGACTGCTTTGTACTTTGTTTTAGTGTGGTTAAGCCTGAAACTTTTGAATCGATTAGGAACTTTTGGTATATGGAAGTTATTGAACATTGTCAGAAGTGGCCTACTATCATTTTAGTTGGTATGTTCATATTTTTTATGCTTTTGATTCTACCCTACCCTACCCTACCCTACCATATCTTACCCTACCGTAACCTACTCTCTCCTACATTACCCTACCTTGCCTTACCATACTGTATGCTACTATATCTTACAGTACTCTACCGTACTTTACCGTACCTTGCCTTTCCTCGCCTTACTTTGCCCTATCCTACTTATCTTACATTGTTTATTCTATCTTCTTTTACTTTTCCGTATCCTACCGTACTCTACTTATCCTACATTGCTCTATCTTCTTTTACTTTATTTTATCCTACTCTACTATATTCTGCTGTAGTTTCTCCAGCTTTAGCGTTGTTTAACTTAATTGTGGATACGATCATAAATATTACGTTACACAAAACTCAATTTCAGGAACAATGGTTGACCTCCGTGAAGACATAGACATCATCAACGATTTACAAGAACGTGGCAAACAGCCAATTACGTGTGAACAAGGCTTACGGTTAGCCAAAGACATTAAAGCAGCTAGATATCTCGAATGTTCGGCTAAAACTAAAGTCGGAGTGTCTACTGTATTTCATGAAGCTGTACGAGCAGTGCTCGCCCCACCTGAAATACCAAGTGGTACTAAGTTGCCTAAGGCGTTGCAGGATGATTGGAATTGCTCAATAATGTGAATATTTTACATTAGTTAACTTATAAAGTAATGCAAAGTAATTGTACTAGATATTTGGTAGTGTTCATTACCAGTAAATAGAGCATGAATATTTATTTATATGATCAACAAATTTTCAAATTATAAATAATATATTGAACATGATATGATAAAGAATAATAATATCAAGCTTCAACTCTCCTTAAACCAACATCATTTTTACTCACAGTCCCAAGATACCCTTGGCACATTCACCTTCAACTAAACTCAAAGCTTGTTCACATCCACATGAAGCTGTATCAACCACCGGGAAGTTGGCATTCAATTTACCGGTCGCTTTTCTCTTTTTAAAAGTGTCAATCGTGATCTTCTTGTGATCGTTTCGGTCGATTATATGACATCCTACGTTGTTGGTACCACAAACATTAAGGTAAAGATTGAACCAGCATCCGAGTTTGCTACAGAAGGGCGTTAGCATGATCTGGGAGCTGCGTGGAGTACCAGTTTGCCAACACTGTTTGGTGACACTGTTACAGAAGCAGAGGGCTGGACGTTTGGGGCAGGCGTGTTGGGGGTTGCTAGAAATTTTGTGTTCTTTATGCAATTTATTTATTTTATTTATTTTCAAAAATTCACTCGTACAGTCATAATATAACATAAAATCAATATAATATAAAATATAAATTTTTAAAGATAAATGACAGTACAGTGATGAGCGTTTTAATAGCTATTGATCCCTTAGTTGTCTTAATGGAAAAAAAAAGTTGGCCTTAACACACAAAATTTAAAATTTTTTAAACTTTTTTTTTATTTTTTAGCTTTAGCCTTAATATTAGCCCTAGTTCCAGTGTAATTTTCAGCGGCCTTGGAAATCTTAACTTACATGCTCAAATAAGACGGACGTTGGAAATCGTGCCACTTTTTAGCCAGACTGTTGTTGAATGATTCGTAACCCAAAATATGCGTCTTGTTGCACAGACATTCTCCTTTTGGAAGACCACTGTTGGCAAACCTAAAATGGGGCTTTTATTACAGATCTAGTTGTAAACTTAAAAAAAATTAAAATATTTTATAACTTTTTGCTTAACGTAATATAAATACAGGGCGCGCCACAAGTTCTGTTACAAAACCTTAAGTTTCCGTAAATTAAAAAAAAATTTAATTTGTATATACAGTAAAACCTTTTTACTATAACATTTAAAAGACTAGAAGGGCCATTACAGTGGTCTCTCTATATAGTAAACCATCTGTATAAGTAACTCTCTTTATAGTCAACAAGAAATATGGCCCTGCCGAGTCAATTTGCACTAAAAAATTACTCCGTAAAGGCAACACCCTCTATAGTAAACACAAAATGCCGATCCCTTTGGGTTGCTTATATAGAGGGAGTACTGTATAAATAGAATGTACAAAAACGTAATGCTATAAAGATGCTTTTCGATAGCAAATATTCTATTACGAAGAGCGGACAGAAAGCTGTCATTATAAAAAAGGTGTCAAACGTTCAAGGATAAGAGTAAAGAGATTTTACTGTACGTATGTTTACTGTAAAAAATAAATAAAAAAAACACTTACTTAACATCAGTGAAGAGGACAGCAGATTTCTTTGGAATTGGACAAACTAAAACAATATTTTTTATTTTTCAAAATGTTTTGTTATTATTGTGCCCCCCTAACCTCAAATTCTTTCTTTGTGGGGGAGCACAGAATTATTTGAACTACCTAATAAACATTTTTAAAAAATTCAGTTTTAGCACAAAAATTAATTTAAAAAAAACTCTTACTTCCATCAGAAGAAACCCTAGGAGTATGAGTACGATCGGCTGGCTTAGGAGCTGGTCCACACGACAAAGACTCAACGATTGGGTATTCATCACCAAGTGGCTTCAGAATATGAAGAGTCCTTTGAGCAGCATAAGAGTAGGTCTTGCCATTTGAGCATGAAATCTTGTCGTTCTTGTGTTGGAACACAAGAATGTTCTTGCAAGCTAAAAATTGAAATTTAATCAAATTGGCACAAAAAAATGTAAAAATTTTAAATTTTGAAATTTTAAAAATTCTGAATATTTGAAAATTTTAAAATTTTGAAGTTTCGAAATTTTTAAATAACTAAAAGCTTACCTGATCCATCACAGTAAGGGAAGACTTTAATACCGAGCGATTTTGTTGCTTCAAAATCTATTTTACAAACACTACCATCGACTAAGGTGGCTTGGAAGTCTCTGACGCGGAAGCAGCCTCGTCCTCTCGCAACAACACTGAAATTTCATTTTTTAGCTTTAAAATTTGAAATTTGACTTGAAAACGAATTTTTATTACTTTTAAGTTATTCAATTAATTTTGAGCCATCTAATTTTGTTTATTTTTTTTTACTCCGCCCTGCTCAAAAATCTACAAAAAAATCTTATCCTTACCTAGAAAGCGAGTACTGACCAGGCAACCATAAGCTTGGCACTTTGTTAGTACTACCCTTGCTGATGACAACTTCTCCTTTGCCATTGATACCACACCTTGCAACTGGATCATGTGGGAAGGTCTTTCCCAAATTAAAAATACTCAATGAAGTTTCACCAGCTTCAGCAACACATTTCTTATCACCAGCTGCGCTCACGTTGATGCCTTTGAAGCCATTGTCCCACATGGACTTGACACCGGGCCAGTTAATTCCAAAGTTTGTCTTGGTGCCAGCCGGTTGTTTCCAGTCAGAGGCACTGCCGTTTCCGGATACAGCGGCGTTGATTTGTCGACCGAACAGGGCTTTTTGATTGTTTTTGATGATAGTGGGTAGGTCGAGGGTTTTGCCGTGTTCTTCATCTGGATCGACGACTGGAGAGTCATCTTCAGCAGAAGCAGCGCTGTCAACTTCGGCTGCTCCATCCTTATCATCGGTTTCATCTTCTTCTGGGTCGTCATGGTGTGGACCAGGCCTCTCAGTAGGATGATGAGGGTTATGTGGACCAGGCTTCTCAGTAGGGTGATGAGGGTCATGTGGACCAGGCTTCTCAGTGTGATGATGTGGATCATGAGGATGTTTAGAATGATCACCTGGACCTGGCTTACCACCATTCTCAGTTGTAGCTGCAGTAGAACTCTCATCAAGACCAGGTGCAACCGTTGTAGCATCAGAAGTTGGAGTCTTAGAAGCCGCATCAATAGCAGTAAATGCTGTAGAGGCTTCAGATGATGCACGGGATATTGTAGAGGCTTCTGAACTTGCTACGGTAGACACAGAAGACACTGTGGTAGCATCAGAAGATGGTGTTTTAGAAGCCGCATCAATGGCAGTAAAGGATGTTGATGCTTCAGTAGATGCTCCGGATACTGTAGATGATTCTGATACTGTAGATCCACTTACTGTAGCAACAGATACCGTGGATTCAAGAGATTCTGATGAAGATGTGGTAGCATCAGAAGATGGTGTTTGAGAAGCTGCATCAATAGCAGTGTTGGCAGTTGATGCTTCAGTAAAGGCTCCAGATACTGTAGAAGCTCCAGACACAGTAGACGCTCCAGATACTGTTGAAGCACCAGATACTGCAGAAGCGCCACTCACAGTAGAAGCACCAGATACTGTAGAAGCACCAGATACTGTAGTCTCACCACTTACAGTAGAACCACTAGTAGTCGATCCAGGATCAGCCGTAGTACTAGTACAAGCTTTTTTAGTACTATACGGCTTGTACGGATCGTACCCGCCAGGACCTTGAGGATAACCAAAGTCACCATCGTGAGGACCATATGGGTTGTTTGGCTCAGGGTTTGGGTAGTTTGGTACACCGTGGTTAATCACCTGTTGTCGTGGGTATTGAGGGTACTGTTGTGGGTATCCTTGATCATGATGATGATGTTGAGGGTACTGTTGGTACTGGGGGTACTGTTGAGGGTACCCATGATCATGATAATGATGTTGAAGATGCTGAGGGTATTGCTGGTCATAACCGTAGTTGGCGTAGGCCAATGATGTCAGTGTTGCTAAAAAATGTTGACTTTTATTTTTTTTGGCTAGAAAACTTAAAAAAAGTTACAGTACACCACTAAAACATTTAAAAATTTTGAAAAAAAATGAACAAAAAATAGTATAACGTAACATACAGTACATGCTTAAGTAAAATACGAACCTACAAACGATGCTGACTTACCTATCACAGCAACGACCTTCATGCTGTAGCTACTAGACTACAACACAAAAATCAATATATATTATAATGAAGACAATTAACCCTTATATACCCCTCCAAATACAATTTTTGATTTTCTGACATTTCAACTTTGACTAATGTCCGATAAGAAATTTGATTACAAAATCAGCCCTGACTCAGTAAAAACGTCCGTACCGTATGATTAACAGTGGCCTGTTAATCATAATAAAATTTTGTTTTAGAATTGACATATTAGCTTGTAATGGCTGTCATGCAATCTTTGATCTTATGTTAGCCATGACAAGTGGTAAACCAGGAACTGAAGAAAAGTATAACTTACCTACCCTACCCTACCCTACCCTACCCTACCCTACCCTACCCTACCCTGCCCTACCCTACCCTACCCTACCCTACGTTACTTTACTCTACTAGAAAACAAAGACCTTATACCCCGTATTTTACAATAAAAAATAAATCTAAAAACACGTTCAAAAATTTAAAATCCTTTTTAAAAAGACCCCATATAAAGTGGATTGTTTTCGATTTGAATAAAACTCTCATTAATTACCGTGTTTCTGTGGTCTCTTATGTGCCAAGTGCAATCGAACGGAGCGAACAAAAGTAATTTGAATGGAAAAAATGGCCGTTATTTGGGTTCATACATATTTAAAACTCTAATACTTTCTGTCTTGTTTGTTACTATGCACTTTTTTGGAGTCTATGATACTTAGCTTTGGTAGTACTTTTCAATGCTTTATGGCACATCTTATAGCTTTTATGATATTATTTTAGCTTTTGTGGTACCTTTTAAAGCTTTTTTAATACTTCTTTTAGCTTTAATGGTACTTCTTTAACTTTTTATAGCACTTCTTATAGTCTTCATGGTACTTCTGAAAGCTTTTATGGTGCTTCTCAGAACCTTTGTTCTACTTATCAAAGCTTTTGTGATACTTCTTAAAGCTTTTATAGTATTTTTGTGACTGTGTCTTAGTTTAGGTATAGTACATTCTACTTATACAATTCTTTTTAAACCTTATTTTACAGTTTGAAGCTATTTCATCGTTTAATCATAGTATTGAAAAATAAAAAAGTTTTGTCGTTTTTTGTCGTACAAAGCTCTGTTAAAAAACGACAAGACTTTATATAAACTTAATTACTATATTAGTTTTTCAAAATTTGTTTTATCGACTAATGTTGACCTGAACTCTTTATTTTTGATACTAATTTATTACTTTAATGATATTTATAGTGTGAAAAAAAAAGTGTTGTCGTTATTTAACAAGCAAAGCTTACTAAAAATACGAAAAAACTTTATAAAACTCAAAAAAACGCCTTTGTTTATTAAAACCTAATGCTAAATGTATTTTTAAGCTCAAACCCTCTACATGTCCAATTTGAACTTATTAAAATTCAGCCGGTTTGAAGCCTTATGAGTTTGAGCTTTTATCTCGACGAAGCCATTAATCTAAACAGCGGCTCGCTTTTTCCCAAATGTGATTTATTCGATATATGACAATCTGTTCTGAATGTGTTCTTGAGATCGGGAGTGGAAGGTTTTTTGTAATTAAAAAAATTTTTTTAAAAATTTTTAAAATTTTAACTTTTTTTTCAAATTTAAAAATTTTTTTTTTATTTTTTTTTAAACTTTTTGAAAAAGCATACAAATTTTGAAATTTTTGGGATTTCTATATCATTTTTGCTCTTGTTTATGTTGAACTAAAGTTCTTTTTTCAAAGTTCATTCGCATTAGATTAATCCAATTATAATAGGTTTATATAATGCGTCTCGAGTTCACTCCGGATATATAATTGTGTATAATGTGTCGGTCAAACGGCGTCTGTTGCAACTTTATATTTTTGATTTTTGAAATTTTTTTTTGGAAAATTTTAAAATATTTAAATTTTTTGTAATTTTAAAATTTTTTAGTTTAACACAAAAGTAGTAAAATTGTAGAAGAATTTCTGATACAGTGGAACCTCCGTATAAGAAGCCTCTATATAGAAAGCCTCTGTATAACGAACAACTTTTGAATCCCCGGCTATCATTACACAGTGAATTTTTAACCTCTCTATAACAAAACCTCTTTATAACAAACGAATTTTAATTCCCTTAGCAATTTGTTATACTACAAAGGTTTTACTGTATTTTACTCTTTTTTTGAAATTAGTAAGGTTTTTAAAAAATTTATTTGACACTTATAGAATTGAACCTTACCCTACCTTAGCACTGCCCTGTCTTTTCTCTATTCTCGCCTTTCTTTAGCCTACCATTACTCTATTTTGCCCTAGCCTTACTCTACTCTACTTGTCTTATTCTAGCCTACTCTTATTCTACTCTACCCTTGTCTTATCCTAACCTTACTCTTTGCTTCTCTTACAACCTATCTTACGCTTAATTTTTCCTCTCCATTGACTAGAATTACCCCACCATTTCTCACTGCCTACGCCTCTTTTATTAAAATTACCATCCCCATAAAACGCCCCATCCAATTTCCAAAACACTCTCGAAAATACAAAAACTAGCTGTCATTCAATCTCCCACGACCCTCAACAAATACCACCCCGATCGAAGAGGCGGCGAGAGAAAGAGAGACGGTCAGCTGGTCAGCAATTGTGGTTTTATGCCATTCCAAAAAAAGAAAAGACAGGTGCGCTCGACTGTACACGAAGAAGAGAGTGCGATTGTAAATGGCAGTGATGGAGAGAAAAAAGGAGGAAACAGTCGAGAGTGCACGATCGAGGGTTTACCTTGCTAAAACCGCAAAAATAAAAAAAAATTTACCGGCCGCTTTTTAGTAGTTTTTTAGAGGTTTGAAGGTAGTTTAAAGGGTAAAAATAAATTTTCGGTAAGGTAAAAATTAGGTATATATTTTTTTATTATTTTTAAAACATATTTTTTAAATAGAAAAAGTTAGGTTTAATTTTTTTGTACAATTTTTCTGTTAAGAATTAAAGGTTGAAGAGGTTTTCTAGATCAGGTAAAGCGAAAGAAGGGCAATGTTCTGGCAAGAGCAAGACAAGCTTAAGGCCAAGCGTAGTTCCTAGCTCGGGCAAGAATAGGGCAAGGGTGGGGCAAAGGCTAGACAAAGGTAGGACAAGAGGAGGACATAGTTAGAGAAAGGGCTAAGCAAGAGCATAGCAAGAGTAAGGCAACAGTAAAGCAATGGCAGGGCAAGGGTGGGGCAAGGGCAGAGCAAGTGTAGAGCAAAAGTAGGCCAAGGAGTAGAAGAAAGGTGGGGCAAATTTAAGGCTAGGGTAGAGCAAGAGTAGAGGAAGTATAGGGAAAGTATATAGCAAAGCTAGGGCAAGGTGTAAAGCTAGGGTATTGCAAGAGTAAGGTAAAGATAATGAAATTTTCCTGTAAGGGTAGTGCAAAGGTAGGACAAAATTATGACAAAAGGATAAGGATGGGATAAGAGCAAAACAAGAGCAAAGCAAGACTAGGGAAGGTTGAGACAAAAGTAGAGTAAAGCGATGGCAATGTAAGCTGTAATATAATTTGAATTTTGTTTTAGTATTCATTGTTATATTTTAATTTTTTTAAATATTAGTTTGACTTAAAAAAAAATATTTTGTGATTTAGACTTTTTTCCAAAATTTTTATCAAGACTGTCTCCCCCTTCCCACGAAATGACTCATTTTTGTGGTATTTTTGAAGTGATTTAACCCACTTCAACTCGAAATGAAGAGGATTTTAGCGCGCAAAACAAGGCTTATAGGTAATGTTATACCTTCGTCGTACGTCCAGTTGCGGTATAATTTTTGGAATATTAATGAGTAGCGTATAAGCGGATTATTTATTTTGATTTTTTAAAATAAAAAAAAATATTTAATTTTTTTTTATTTATAGGCTTAAAAATTAGTTCCTTGTTTTAAAAATTGTGACTAGGCTTATCATGGTTGTTTTAAGCTTATAAAATGTACTTTGTGATGATTTAAAAACATTTTGTATTTTGATTTCTAACTTTTTATTGTACCCGTATTTTACAACCTAAAACCCCCCCCTAAAAACTTATAAAAATCACAACAAAAGCACAAAAGCAACCGTCCTTCTAGTCCATTAAGTGCATGTTTGTGGTCATTTTGCGGTGCTTAAAAACAAGATTAAGTTTGGGGGTCGGGGCGAGTGCGCAGCCGAGGTTATGTTTCGTTAAGAGATAAAAACTCTGATGCGTGTGATTCTTGAATTTCCGAAGATTGACGAATATTTTTTTGTTTGGTCATTTTTAAGCTCGCGGGATGGGATTTTTGTTTGATTTTTGTTTTTTAAAATGTTTTGATAGGGATGGGGTGGAAATAGGGACAAAAGTTGAAAAAATAATTGGAGGTAAGCTAAAGGAAGTAAAGCAAAAGAAGAATATGGCAAGGATACGGCAATAATAGGGCAATGTAGGCAAAGATAAAGCTATTGTATGGCGAGGCAAGGAAAAAGCAAAGTTAAGAGAATAGTTAAATAAGGATAGTGCAAGAGTAGAGGCAAGGGTAAGAAAAGAGTAGGGCAAGGGTATAGCAAGAGTAGGGCAAGGTTAGTTCAAAGGTAAAACAAGAGTAGGGCAATAGTATAGCAAGGGTATAGCAAGAGTAGGGCAAAGGTAAAGCAAGAGTAAGGCAACTAAAACAATGTGAGGCAAGCAAAGCAAGGGAAGGGCAAGAATAGGACAAACATAGGTCATGGGTAGAACAAGAGTAAGGCAAGGGTAGGGCTACGCAAGAATAAGGCAAAGAATGGCAAAGCCCGGTAAGGACAAAGGTAAAGCAAACGTGGGGTAAAAGTAGAATAGGGGCAAAGGTAAGGCAAATTTGGGGCGAGTGTAAAGCAAAAATGTGGATAGCTTAGAGAAAGAGTAGTGCAACGTTAAGGATAGAGCTAAGACAGGGCAAGAGGTAGGCTAAGGTAGGGTAAAAATAAAATAACTTTAAAAAAATTGAGAAGGGATGTTATAAAGAGCAAGCTTGTTTTATTTGTTGATTTAGCTAAACAAAGGCAAAGATGATTAATTTTTTTGATCAAAACGAATATATTATAGTAGATTCATTAGCATTAAAGTCTTTTTTCTTGTTTTATTTTGGTTTTTGATCAATATTTTTTCTTTAACCTTTTTAGGTACATAATGTAAAGTAAAAAAATGTGTATAATAATGCTAAATGATATCTTCTCTATTTACCACAGTAACGTGAACTTTAAGATGTGAGATCATTTCCTGTTTTTTCTTTGATTTAATTAACTTTATATTTCTTCATTCTTTTATACTTTTTAATTTGTTTATTAACGTGCCGTTATTTACAAACTTACTTTTGAGAATAGGAAAGATCGTTGTCTGTGACATATTATGTCATCAGCTCTTTAAAATGTTTTGGAAGCTAAGTAATAGGGCTCAGACTCAGGATCAGGCTCAGGCTCAACCTCAGCCTCAAGCTCAAGCTCAATCTCATTCTCAGGTTAACGCAGGTGTGGGCTCAGGCTCAGGCTCAGAATCAAGCTCAGCGTCAGGCACAAACGCAGGCTTAAACTCAAGTTCTGGCTGAAGCTCAAGCTCAAGCCAAGGCTAATGCTGAAATTAGGGCTTAAAACAAACGCAAGCGCAATCTTAGGCTAAGTTAGAATAATATAAAAATAGGGCAAATCTCGATTTCAACTCAAATTTTTAGTCCAAATTCAATGTTTTAAGCCCAAAACAAACATTGTAACGATTAGCAGCAACGAGAACCGACCGGTTGTAATGTCGAACCTCTCTAAACCGTTTGCACTTGAGCCAAAAATATTGTTTGAAACTAATGAAAGCTATAAGCAAGGCTCAGGAACGGTGGTGCGGTCGTTCTCACTCCTCGAAAAAAGTGTTTGGAAACGCGTTTTTGTTTGCCGTTCCATCATTTCCCAAATTTCTCTTCCGGCTTTTTATTACATTTTTATCATTTCTTATCAAATTTCCGTTCCGAGCGATAAACTTTTGTTATGTGATTATAGTCATCATGATAAGTGGTAAGGAAGGGGGAGGAAAAAAGAAAGAGGAGGGAGAAGGGGTGGGGGGGGGGAAGGGAGGGGGATAGGGAGTAGTAATTACTGTCATTGAGATACAAAAGAGTGATAGAAGTAGTATCAGCGAAAAACGGTGGGTGTGTTTTTTTTTAATGCAGGGGGGGAGGAGGGAAGATTCTCAACAGTGGGTCAAATAAAAAAAACTGGGGGGGGGGGGGGGGGACAGTGATTTAACATGAAATTTTTTTTTGAATTTTTTAAGGCAGGGGTGTTTTTCAAGACGGGGGGTGAGGTAAGAAAATAGATGGTTAGGGCAGAGTTGGACAGGGCATGGTAAGTTAAGGTAACGCAGGGTAAGGTAGGGAAAAGCAAAACAAAAAAGCATAGTAGGGCAAGGCAAGGCAAGGCAAGGCAGAATAAGCTTTGGTTTGAAATAAACAAAAATATTTTTTTTAGGCGGGGGTAAAAAACCTTTTTTTCAAACATCACAAAACCTCTATGAATGTCCAGCAGTAAGTTAAGCATCCAAAGGCGTTCGAATAAAAATCTAAATTTAATGTCATATTTATAGGCTTGGAACGATGTTTTATATCGAATTTAAAACCGTGCCGCTTCCGGATATTTAGTGTTCAGTTTTATGATTTATGGCTGGTTTAGGGGTTTTTTAGGGGGTGTATTTGGGTTTAGAGTCGTTTTTTAGTAGTTTTTACTTATATGTGTAATATTGTATTTTAAAAATTAAGTCGTCTTACTTTACTTTTGTCGAAAAAAGTTTCAGTATGAACAATTTTTTATTTTTAAAACATATCATTATGACCCATTTTAATATTAATTTGACAGCATAACCTGTTTTTTATTGTAAAATACGTCTGTTTCTCTTACGGCTGCTTATTCTAAATTTTAAAATATGTCATGATGACCCGTTTTTCATTTTTGAAGTATGTCATTATGACCTTTTTTTATTTTAAAAGTATGTCATAATGACTCATTTTTTATTTTTAAAATACGTCTTCACTTATTTCTTCTTTAGAATGTGTCATCCTGACAACATTTTAGCTTTGAGGTGTCAACATGACCTTTTTTATTATAAAATACGATTGTTTGACTTGGTTTAATCTAGAAAATATGTCATCGTGACAGATTTTAAACTTCAAAATAAATCAACATGACGTATTTTAAATCTTGAAATATGTCAGCATGACGCATTTTAAATTTTAAGGTATGTCATTATGACGCATCTCATATAGAGTTTCTAAATTTTTTTAAATTTTAAAACTCGAAACCCACTTCCCAGACCATAAAACCAAAAATGAACAAGATCAAAAAGTGTCAAAATTAGCGGCGTAATAGTAATTCCAGCGGGCGGATTTTTTTAATTTGTGGGTGATCCAGTCAAGCGAAAAAACTTTCACAAAAGCTTTGTTGTAGCTGGAATTTCAATGAGTTTCCATGCAAAATGTCGTTCTTTTTTGGGCGTTTGGTGGGATTTTGAAAATTTTTTTAATTTTTAAAATTTAAAAAATAGAAACTATGAGGCAGAGTAGGTTGGAGTATGGCAGATTGGAGTTTGGCAGGCTGGAGTCGGGTAGCTTGTTGTAAGATAAGTTGGAGTAGAGTAGGTAGATGTAGAGTATGGGGTAAGGCATTTTTGGATAAAGTAGGGTAAGCGTTCTCGGCGAGGGCAGGGAGGATAACGTAAGGTAGGGTAGGTAGGGTAGGTTGGATAGGGTAGGGTAGGGTAGGGTAGGGTAGGGTAGGTCAGTTAGAAACACTTTTTTAAATTTTTCAAATAATTTAAAAAATTTTTTTAATTAAATTTTAATTCTTTTCGCGAATATTTAAATGAAAATTTTTTTTTCAGTATTATAATTCCAGGGCGAAACACCAAGTACCCTGTCCAAAATGACGGACATTGACAGTTTTCTGGAGGCGAATCAGTTGTTGTCCAACACATTGAAGCAGCTGGATGAGGCCATGAAACAGAGTAAGTTTTATCACAAATTCCTTGAAAAGACCAAAAAAACAGGCATGGGAAGGGCTTTTTTCGAATCGATTGGACCACAATTAGTGTCCATGTGACTTTGATTTGATTTTTTTTTGCCAAATTGAATAGTTTTATTGTTTTACGTCAGCAAATTTGCCGTATTTTACATTAAAAATCTTTTAGCTTTCAAAACATTTAAGTTTGAAAATTTTAGCTAATTACCAACCTTTTTAAATTTCAAACCCACTAGAAATTGCAAAAACTGAAATTGTTTGACTGAAAAAACAAAATTTTCATGTTTTTTCAATTTGATTTAACGCGTAACGACTTGCTTTCCGCTTTGAATTATCCACAAAACGATCGGATAATTACATAGACATCACACTAAATTGGCGGAATCAACTTTGAATGCAAACGAATTTCAAAGCGTTCCCTTTACCCACATGGTATTCAAATCTGATCTGAATGTTTTGTTTTCTTTATTTTCTTTAGGATTTAAAAAAAATTTGAAATTTTGCAATTTTTAAGTAAAAAATTTGTAAATACAATGTTTTGACCGGGTTGAGCTAAGACAAAATAAGGTTTTTGTAGATTTATAACATTACTAGAACTTTAAAATAGTAGCGCAATACGATAGTTAATAGATCTTGGGTAATAGACTAGGATAAATCTCGATTAGGTCAGGGTAGGGCTAGGACAATATAAAGCTTGATTAGATTTAGAGTTCTATTAAGATAAGGAAAGGGTACGCTTATATGTATTAAAGTGAATTTAAATAGTTGAGGGCTAGATTAAGCTGTAATAAAAACAGCTTGGGCTAGAGTAGAGCTATATTAGTAAGGTAGTAAGGTAAGACACAAGTAGCAACATTACTAGAGGATTACATGAGTACGGTAATACGATAGTGCGGAAGAACTGTTTGGTTGTTCACTTTTTCTGCGCGTACTCTCAAAACAAATTTGTAGGGTAAGGGTCGCAGAATTATGTGAACAACCTAATATACTATGCTAGGATAGAGCTAGACTGGGTTACGATGAGATTAGGGTAAGGCTAAATTGAGACAGAGCTTAGACAAATCAAACACATCTCTAGAATAAGATGAAGTTGGGGTAAAACTATAGTAGGGTAGAAATAGATGGGGCTGGATTAGGCAAGAGTAGGCCATGAATAGTTCTAGGAGAGGGAAGGAATAAGCTAAGAGAGTAAATTGTTCTCTAAGCTAATGTATTGCTAATGCAACTCTAAGCTAACTATCACTTTGTTTACCTTTATATTTCAAACTTTATGAGAAAAAACGTATTTTACAAACTGAAACATTTAAATTTTCTAAAACCAATTTGAGTATTTGCAACTTTTCGCGCTTTGAAAGCCTGTTTTTAATCGAACAATGTTTACAAATGACCTTTTGCCGCAGAAATCCTTGAATACATAACTAGGGTTTGCATCGGCATACATTCGATTCTGTTTGCAAATATGGGGTTGTATTCTGTTTTTAAGGGGGGGGGGTTTGAGATTTTTTGAATTTAAAATTTGCATTTAAAATCTTATTACTCCGTATTTTACTTTTTTTTGCCTTTATTTTTATTATTTCACATTATTTTCAGACGAAGAAAAATGGACCCCATCATATAATCGTCATCGCTCAGTATCACCGATACGATACAAGTCCAACTTCGTTATGACAACACCACCAGATGATCTTTTAAACGGCAATGTTGTTGATGGTTTCGAAAAGAATGGGAACAACGAACGACCAACCTCTGATCCATCGTCCACTACTTGGGAAAACAAGGACACCAACTCTATTGGCAGTGGTAACACCAGTAGTAATGAAGAATCACCACTCTCTGATCAGGCCTCAACCGTATCTAATAGGGTTACGCTGGAGAAGTTGTGCAAGGTAAGTTGGGGTGAATGTTGTAGGAAAGGGTAAAAATAAAGTTAGGTTTTGTCAAACGTAGGTAGGGATCAGGATAGGCTGCGACTAAGCTCAATTTAAGGTTAAGGTTAAGACTCAAGATCAGGGAGCAGGCTTAGGCTTAGACACAGGCTTAGGCTCAGGTTCAGGCTCAGGCTCAGGCTCAGGCTCAGGCTCAGGCTCAGGCTCAAGCTCAGGCTCAGGCTCAGTTTTAAGCCCAGGCTTAGGCTTACCTCAGGTCTGTGATCAGTTTTAAGCTTGAGCTTAAGCTCAACCTCTAACTCAAGTTCAAGCTCAGAATTAGGCTAAGGCTCTAGCTCAGGCTCTGTTTTTAGCCCAGTCTCAGGCGAAGGCTACGGCTAACACTCAAGCTATGGATCAAGCTATAGTTCAGGCTAAAGCTAAGTCTAGACACAGCAGGGCTAGGTCTTAGTCTATGGCTTGGTCATAATTTTTCTGGTTTTCCAGGCGATTGAAACGGATAAACTTCCGCCGCCGGATCCGAAGGTCAGGTACAAGATTCTGAAGTGGATCTACGACAATAATGGCGACGAATCCTTGCGTAATCTTGTGGTATGTTTGTTTTTTAGTTTGAATCTTAAAATTAAAAAATTTTTTTTGAAATAATGTTTTTGTGGCTTTGTGTTTCAAGGGAGATTTATGATTTTTGTAAAATACGAGAGTTGTTTATAGCGGTTTTAAATTTTTAAAATTTGGCATTCTGTTGCAAGACGAAAAATGTTCGTAAAATACGAATTGTCCTGTTGTGCGTTGAAAAAAATTAATCAAAATGAATCTTTGAACTAAAATTTACATTTAAAATTTAAAAATTTTCATAATCTACCTCTAATTTTAAAAATCCACCCCATTGCCAAAACTTGCCCCTACCTCTATTTTGCGTCGCACTTGTGATCCTCCAATCAATTTTTATAAGCTTTATAAAATTCGACAGCTGAGCGTCAAAGCCATCGGCTTCGTTTGCTTTTTGTGCCCACCTAGTGTCTCTTTATACCTGTCCGACCAAACCCTTCGGCCAAGCCTCTCCTTTCCCGAATTCCGATCCAACAAAATTTGATAAAACGCGTTTATTGGCGTTGAGGAGGTTGTTGGCCAACGCCGAGGCTTGAGACCAACTTTTTTATGAGGCTATTGATACTACTGTTGGAATTACAACTTGTTTACTATTGGGATAGATGTGGGTTTTATTGTGGGAGAGATGGGTGCTTATGAGGGGGGGGGGAGGGGGGGGGGTTAGAAAACATTGATCATATTGTTTTAGAAAAAACGTCTTGTTTTTGTTGGTTTATATCCCGTATTGTACACAATTTTACACAAAGTACGGTTTGTAGTGTTGGCGTACTATGTAGTGCTACGTCTTATTTACTATTATAACAATTTATGGCTTGTAATCATTTTGTACTAATTAAAAATACTAATTTAGAACTTGTAATACCTTTTTAGTACTGTTAAAGCAAGGATAGTGATGTTGTCATTGTAATACTCATGTACTTCTAATACCCTTATGGTACTGTTGATCAGATGCAATTAGCTCTGGTCAGAAAAGTTGTAGTACAAGTATTACTACAACCATACTAAATTAAAATTACTTTTCGTTCAGTACGATTACAGTCCTTTGGCACTATAATCGTACTGAAGAGCACTTTTTGTAACCTAATTTCAAAAACGAATGGGTTCAAGATGGTGAGTAAGAAATGTCATAGCAAGTGAAAGTTTGTTTATGACGTAGCCAAAACGTATGATCTTTAAAGACGGAACAAAATTAATAGTACTTTTGTTTTTGCTTTTTGTTATAACTTTCAGAGCATATAACCTTAGCTTTTGATCACCAAAATTTTTTAACGTCTTTGATTTTAATTTTTTGCTAATGACATTATTTAAAGGTAAAATACGGCTTTTGACTACTTGGCTTAAGAAATTATTGATTTTTTCGTTTTATAGGGAGGGGGGGGGGAAGGGGGAAGGCAAGAAATTTTTTTTATATTAAGAGGTCTTTGTTCAATTTTAAAAAAAATATTTTTTTCACCCACTCCCTCGTTTAGAATTAGGCCTGTAAAGGAACCAGATCTTGGTTTGAGATTGTGTTCTTACGTGTCCTGGTTCGGCTTGAGGTTTTTCAAAGTTGTTTCTTTCCTGCCCGGCAGCAACTTTTATCGTACGGCTTCTGTGATCTAGATTATAGCTTTCGGCCATGATTTTTTGATTTGACCTATTATAAATTTTTTTCGTTTGGTTTAGTCCGGCTTCGGGCCTGGCTTACTGTGCTCATTCCCTGACACTTTATTTAGCATTTTTTACTTTGTACTTTTATTTATTTTACTCTTTCATTTCGACCTCTCTTGTGATATTTTTGAACTCCAGTTCATTCCACACATACCTCATAACTCAGGATTTCAATTATGACCCAAAATATTTACCACTGCTTCTAAGAAATGTCAAGCTTCGTTCGTCGAGCCTATAAATATCCGTTTCAACTTGAAGTATCCAAGGAATTTTGTTTTTTCTCCGAGTTTCTATTTTTAATTCGAAAGGAATTTTTTTGATTTGAGGGATTTGGAAGAGTTTGGACTGATTACTCTTTGGATGCACTGATCTTTCCTATGTGAATATTGGAACGCTGATCAGGATTTTTTCAACTTCGAAAGATTCACCGGTCGATTTTGAATTTTCTACTAATTTCTAATACGTTTTGATGACATAGTACGTCAGATACTGCAAAAAGAATTTTTTTATTATACGGTACTCTACAGTACCCTATAGTATTCTACAATACTATAAAATACTCTAAAGTGCTCTAAAAGGCTCTACAGTACTAGTGCAGTACAATACTCTACAGTACTCAAAAATACCCTACAGCACCCTAAAACGTTATCCTTCACCAGTAATACCACATAACCAACGATGGACACCATGGACATATTCTCCACGGGCTGGCCGCAAAAGCAGTCCAAAATCCGTCGCAACTCTCTACCGTATGCCAACACTGTTAGTAGGCCAATTTCAGCCAGATTTGCTGATGAATTAAGGCCAATTGCTGAAGGGCATCGTCAGACAGCATTGTCTACTAACTCTGTCAATCTTTGTGTATCAAGTGGGTTGAGAAGTGCTATCAGTGGAGGTTCGAGTACGTTCTTGCCTGTTCGAACTAACAATCAGTTGAGGTTGGTTTATTGGGTTTTTTAAAGTAAAATGGGCTGGTTAAGTACTATGTTTTTATATGGTACATATAGGGTATGTCAGAGTAGTACAAGGTATATTATAGTAATTATGGGCTTATGTTTATGTCTATGTCAGTACATGTGAGTTTTATGTATAATAACGATACTGAATGCTGTGAAATTTTAAAATATTATAAAAAGATTTAAGCTTCAAAACTGTGGTAAAGAATTAAAAGTAGACCTGGCTTTCAAACTAGGCCAAAAAATTGGCTTGGCCAGACCGAAAAGCCAGTTCTATCTTATGTTCAGTGTTCTTAATAGTGACAGCTCTATAACAAGATATTTAAGCTTTTTAAACCCTTTTTCTTGTTAACACACTAAACAACTTGACCTTCACTCAATCATCTTAAATTATGTTTGGGACTTGTCTCGGGGACAAATTTCTTGACATGACAATTACACGTTCGTAACATCGTCTTTTTATCATAACTAACAAGAAATTAAGATTTATATGATTAGATTGATAGTATGCCTGAAATAGAGCAGAAAGCCAAGTGACGGCCAACTGAAGCATAGAAATAGCGCGCGAAGGCAGGAGACGACCAGATAAATTAAAAAATAGTGCACAAAACCAAGAGACAGCCAGTTAAATTTAAAAAATAGAGCACACTTTGAAGATACGCCCAGCTAAATCCAAAAAAAATATTAAAAAACTTACAAAAATATCACACAAACCCAAGAGACGGCCAGACACACCCAATTTCGCTTGATTTTTTTCGAAACTGGCTAGATCTCGAGACAGCCGAGAAAAAAGTACTCAAACGGGAAAAAAACTCGAATTCTTTGCATTCCAGAGGACTCAGCTGAATGCCCTGAGGGCCAGGAAAAAACCCACCGCTGTGTCGCCGCTTATTTACTTGATTTTTGTGATAAACGACTTTGCGAAAATATTGGCCTGCTTTTACGGCCCCATAACAACAGTTTACATGGGCTGAACGGAGATGATTTTTATTTGATCTACTTGAAGATTAACTTGAGAGCAGAGGTGAAGAAAGATTATTATAGTACGAAGTTGTCATTGGTTTTGTATATGGCATTGACTTTAAGCTTTAAAGCTTTGATTTGAAACTATAAAGCCTTGGTCTAATACTAAACAGCCTCGATTGTTGTATCGCAGCACTTTTTTATTTACTAGCTACCGCCTTTAAATTAAAATGGGCTAATTTTACCACTGATGGTCTAAACCATATTAAGCTGTCTCGACCTGAATTAAAGGCTACTAACACCAACATTGCCTAATAAGTGTGGAACTGTTAACAATTCATTTAAATCATAGTACATGACCTTGGAAGTAATCTTTTCAAATTGGAAGTGGTCTATTCTAACCTACTCTTACTACACAAAGAATACTGTGGACACGTCTGAATGAATGTGTAGTAGACATTGGTGTTAAGTCTGAAGTTAACTAATCTGCGGAGTTTTACGTTTGTAACGTGAAGAGAAGCCCATACGGTATCTATAAACCGTAGTATTAATACCGTAATTAATTACTAAAGAAAATCATAACAAAAGAAGTAGTTATCATTATAAAACCCTAAAATGCTTGTGTTATCCAGAAGCCTATCAACAATAACCAACGGCTCTACTCGAGCTTCCAAACCCTACCAAAATCAGTTCAGTGATTCTGGTTTTGGCTCAACACTAAGTGCAGGAAGTAGTTGTTCATTCCTACCTCCACCACCACCATATCGTCCAAGACTAGGAACGTCAGGTTCTGACTCACATGAACCTACAACATCCACATCTCCACCTAAAACCATCACTTTCTCACCTGGAGCCATTGTTATTGGAAACGGTCCAATACCTATTGAGCTCTTCAGTGACAATCCTTATGATCATAATGGTGGTGACCATCATGATGTTTGGCATAGTACAAGTCATGGAGGTAGTGTACATCATGATTTAGCCAATCTACGCAAAGACAGCGGTTTATATCATCATGATGGGCATCAAGATGTGCCTTATAGTCATCAAAGTTCGTATGAACCTAGAGATAATTCATATGAAAGACTACAGAATCTATATCATCAACAAGATCAACGGCAATTTACTCCTCAAGAACACCAAGGTCAACCTCAATATCTAAGCCAAGATCAACAAGCTCAATATCAACAACAAGAGCAACAATCTCAACAGCAATACCTGCATCATGAGCTACAAGGTCAAGCTCAAAAACGACAAAATCAAGCCAAGATTCATAGAAGCTTATCAGACTCACGTTACGCTTTAGTAGAACCAAAAGCTCCAAAACTGAGTGTTGGGAATGTGCCGAGCGTTCAAAGTTTGCCAAGAGATTCGAACCACGCACTAGAGAGCGTGGGAATCCAAGAGACACGCAATTTGGACAAAGAAAGAGGCTCCAGTTGGACTCATTCCAGAATCAGCTTGGTGAGTTTAAACGTTTGATGGAAAAATACAATGTGATATTGTCAAAGATGTATTTTTGTATTTTTGGTTCTATTTTGGTCAGTTGCAACAGAATGCCAAAAGTGGCGGGAATTTGAAGTTTTTGAATGTTAAGTTTGGCGGGAAATTAAAATAAAAAAAGTGATTTCAATTATGTCAAATGTCTTAAAATTCGAAAAAAACAACTTTTTTTTTAAAAATACGTACTTGCAACAGAATGCCAAATTTGGCGGGAATTTGAATTTTTTGAATGCCATGATTGGCGGAAATTTAAAAATGAAAAAAAAACAAAAAAAAGTGATTTTGATAACGACAAAAACCTTAAAATTAACAAAAATACTAAACTTTCCCAAAAATACGTACTTGCAACAGAATGCCAAATTTCGCGGAAGATAAAATCCAAAAAATTTATTTCAAAAATTTTTTAGCGCTAATTAAATTTTAAAAGTAGAGTAAAATATGCGAATTATGTTATGATTTTAAATAAATTTCAAAAAATTTCAAAAAAGTTCAAACAATTTTTTGTGCCCCGAACTGGTTGCGTTAGTAATATGGACATAGGTTGAATTCATATAAAATGAGAAATGTGATTTATGAGGTTGGGTTTGGCGGAGTCGGTTTTTGAAAAATGTTGGCTCGAGGCGAAAGTCACCCGAAATTAGGGCAACATGTTCGGCATATGAAATGTCCAATGAGAAGTTTTTTGTTCGGGCAGGGTAATATAAATGTTGCGTATTTTTTTGGGGAGGAGGGTGTAAGAAGGAAGAGGGAGATGGATCGAATAGTAGAGAGAATTAGAAGTAGGAGGGAGGGGAGGAAGAGGAAGGGGGGGGGGAGGGCAGTTTTTAAAAAATAAGGGAGAGGGGGGAGGGGGAGGGTGAAAACCTATTTAACAGAGATTTCTTAGGGCGCGGTAAAAATTTTTTTTATAAAGTTGGCAAGAACTTTCTTTACCACACAAAAAATGGCAAGAACTTTCTTTACAAAACAAAAAATGGCAAGAACTTTCTTTACAAAACGAAAAATGGCAAGAACTTTCTTTACAAAACAAAAAATGGCAAGAACTTTCTTTACAAAACAAAAAATGGCAAGAACCTTCTTTACAAAACAAAAATGGCAAGAACTTTCTTTACAAAACAATAAATGGAAAGAACTTTATTTACAAACCTTAAAATTCCAGTTTTTTTTCTTTATTTTGACAAAGGCAAACTCTAAAAAGTATACTGTACCGTAACCACGTGACATATAATCCCCAAAACCTATTCAAACTCGTAAAACTTTTGAATTTCTTCTTGACTTTTGGAGACCGGATATCAACTTCCTCCTAATAGCTCTCCAACTGAATGAAGGGCTTCTCAATAGCAAAGAAACAACCAAATTTGGGTTTAAGCAAAAAAAACTGGTATTTTATATACTATAACAGGGGTTTATGGACTTAGGTAGCACTTTTAGAGTACTATAAGATTATTTGTTAAAGGATTTATTATAATTTTTAAAAAGGGATGTTGTAAAGAAAGTACTTGCCATTTTTTGTTTTGTAAGGAAAGTTCTTGCCATTTTTTTGTAAAGAAAGTTTTTGCAGTTTTTTGCGTTGTAAAGAAAGTTTTTGCTTATTTTGAAAAATGATGACAAATTCAAAATTTTTTACCAATACCTCTCTCTTTTTTCGGCCACCCTCAAATTTTTTTCTCAACCCTGCTCATACCCTATGACCTGTGCATACTCTATGAACAGTTCCCTTCTCCAGCCCGACCCTCCTTGCCCTATGCAGATTGATACTGTTACTCTCCGACCCTCACGCTCACCTCCGCTTCTTTTGACCACCCCCAAAAGCCGTTTTTCCTTCACTCATGCCCCTACCCTATGAACTTTGATACTGTTCTTCCCCTGGTTCCAAAGCTCCGTTTGCTTAAAGTATCTGTTTGCCTAAAGAGTATATACTCGAAAATAACTCAAAACCGTTCATAAATTTTCATTCGACCCAAATAAAGAGTGCGCAAATTTTGGGCCGCGAAATTTATGCCTTTAGGGGTTTTTTGTGGGTGAGAACATAAGCGTTTGGGACCTTTCTCGCATCCTTAAAAATCGCTTATAGGACGAGACCAAACCATTTTGCCAATTTTATGGCGTTTGTTTTTGTCTTGGCTTCGAAAAAAAGTGCGGATCTACTAATTATGACGAGGGGAGGGAGCTTTTTGGGGTTAGAACACGGGTTGTATAAAAAATGTAGTTTAGGGCGTGGTAAATGCGGGGTAGGATAGGGTGAAATAGTCAAAGGTAAAATAAGGTAGGGTAAGGCAAACTTGGAGGTTGAAAAAAGGAGGAAAATGCAAATTTTTTACATAGTAAGAAATGGCAAGAACTTTCTTTACAAAGCAAAAAACAGCGAGAACTTTCTTTACAAGTTGAAAAATAAAAAAACACACTTATTTACCGTATAACCTGTCTTCCGCAGCCTGCAAAACGCAAATTTTTAATATTTTTTATAGAAATCGCAAAAACTTTCTTTACAAATTAAAAAATGGCAAGAACTTTCTTTAAAAAATCAAAAAATGGCAAGAATTTTTTTTCACAAAACACAAAATGGCAAAAACATTCTTTACAAGACAAAAAATGACAAGAACTTCCTTTACAAATAAAAAAATTGCAAAGACTTTCTTTACAAACGACATTTTTTCTATTTTTACCATTACATTCCCCCATCACTCTACTACAACCCCACAATTTACATTAACGACGCCCAACTTTGTGCCAAACCCAGTAAAACCTTGCTGACTTTCGAACAGCCCACTTTCTTTTCGTTGTTTAAATTTAAATTTGTCCACGGGGATGAAACCAAGACTTTTTTTGGGCAAAGAGTTTGAAAGGTTTTTCCGGAGGGGTTTTGCGCACTCATCTAATTGGACAACCGCCAGTTTCTTGGCCATTTTTTTTTAAATTGAAATTGGTTCGCGTTTTTGAACAAAGTCGTTTTTTAACTGGTTTCAGCCAGGGAAAAGTTGCAAGATCATGGGGGTATGATGACCTTTAGGGGAGGGGGGTCGATTTTTTGACTTTAAAGTGGTTGATTTTTAGTTTTAGATGGGTGGGGTAGATTCTTGGCTGAAGAATGGAAGTTTTTTGGCTGAGAGGTAGATTTCTTGGCTAAGAAAGGGATATTTGCTTGGCTAGGAAGGGATAGATTTGGAATTTTAGCTCTAAAGAGGTAGATTTTTGTCTTCGGAGAGGTAGATTTTTAGTCGGCAGGGTGAATTTTGTCTTGAGAGGGGTAGATTTTTGCCTTAGAAAGCGTAGACCAAAAAATTTAAACTTTTACAAAAATTTTTAAAAACGGTCGATTCTTTGGTCGATTTTAAAAATTTTTAAAATTTACAGAAAACCAACCAAAAAAGTAAAAATTTAGGTACCAAAAGCCTGTATGTACCAAAAAACCGAAAGTACTGACCACAAAACACTTTTTTTTCATTTTCCCGATACTTTTTAGCATGTAAGCATTAAGCGATATATCCCCGGGACATTCGGGCTGATTCTAACCCGATTTAGAAGCCGGCTTCGGACCGTGTTTCTTCTCCAAAAGTGAGGGCATTTTACTCAAAATTTAAAACGTTCTGGGAGATTTTAGGTAATAAGGAATTTTTTTATTAACCCTGACCAATGTGGTCCAAAGGGCACTATGGTATCGGCCCTATGATCCCTTTGGGCCTTGGAAAAATAAAAAAAATTATTTTAATTTTTAAAAATAAAAAATTGTTTAAAAAATGGAATTTCCAACTAATTATTACCTAAATTTCAGAGTCCGTCCCCGTCAATGTCAACGGTCTCCTGTCCGGAGTACCCAGAACTGCAAGAAAAACTCAGACGATTGGCGATTACTAGGGATACGTTGTGTTTACAGGTAAAATACGGGCGTGGCTTTACTAATTTCTACATTTTTAATCTTCCAACATTACGAAAAAGTTTTAAAAATTCATTCGTTGCCTGAAAACAATAAAGCTTTGGCGTTCTGCAACAAGAAAAAATGAGCCTTTTTGAGTTTGAAGAATGTTTTCAAATTGATAAAAGGTTACATCATAGTTGAATTTAAGCTTAAATTAAAGCTTATTTAGTAATTTGTCTTTCTACCACAACTTTTTTTAAAAGTATATCATTTCCATGTAAGTTAATTAATTTCAAAGATCTAAAACTTTAAAAAATAGTGTGTTTAGTCTTATTTTGGTCTATATCTTTTGAAAGCATACATTAATTTAAACTTTATTTTAAATACTTAAATTCAGCATGAAAATACAAAGTAAATGGTACTAAAAATTTAGGTTTGTGTCCATCAGTTTTTGAGTTTTAAAAGGCGGCTTTTCGATATTGTAGTAGACCAGTTTACCGTTTCTTTCGTTAAAATAAAGGTTTATGCCAATTTTTATTGTGTTCTATTAACGAAAACTTGTGTTCTAGATTATTATGAGTATGTAGAGTATAAAATTTGAAGTCATTTTTAAAAAGCCGTTTTTCGATATTGTAGTAGGCTAAATGAGCCTTCTTTTCATTCAAATAAAGATTTCTGTCAATGCTTATTGTGTTTTATTAATAAAAACTTGTTTTGTAGATTAATGATAGTATGCAGAGTATAAATTTTAAAATTTATTGTTTCTGAATTTTGAAAAAATTTAAAAATTCGATTTTCAGGTAGCAGTGTTGACGGACCAAGTTGGAGCTCAAAAAGAGCAGATTCAGGACTTGGAAACGAAATTGGCTGATAAGAGGAGGATCTATTCATACGAAGTGTTGTCAAACAATCATGTAAGGTTTAAAAATTATAAAATATTTATGGATAATATTGAAAATTGGGGGAAGATCGACCAAATATGAGTTTTTACTTTGTTTTAGCTGAACTTTTAGGCTTAAATTTTTGACTTAAAAATTATTTTTTTAAATTTATAACAAAGTTTGTTGTTTTTAGGAAGACTCAAGCTACAAAGCAGATCTGCACAAGGAGATCACAGAGCTAAAGGCCAGGTTCACATCGATGGAGCGAGAGAAGTCTGAAGCCGAAAAACGTCTGCAACATAGTCAGGTAGGCACTTCTTTAATGAATTTTGATGCAAATTTAGAAAGATATTTAAAACTTTTGATGGTATTTTGTACTATGGACGTCTTCGCCCGTATTTTACATTTTTTCTTGATTTTTTTAACAAAAGTTCAGCAAAATTAGGTATGAAAAAGATGTTTCCGGGTAATAAAACACGGTTTCAAGTAACAAGTCACGTTGTAATTCACATTGTAATTAACAAAAGGTATTTTCTGTCACATTTAGGTATAAAATTATTATTGATTTTAAAATTTCTGTATTTTAGGCCGAAATTGAGCGATTAACCCACTCAATGCAAACGATTATGAACCAGCACAACCTGAACATGAATCGAAATGAAAATCCTGATCAAAGTAAGTTTTTTTAATTAAAATGGCAAAAAATTTCTTTACAAAACAAAAAATGTCAAGAACTTTGTTTACAAATTTTAAAATGACAAGAACTTTCTTTACAAAGACAGAAAAATGGAAAAAATTCAAAAATCTTGTTGTAGACGAAGAAATGGAGCAACTCCGAGTAATAGTGCAACGATTGATGGCTGACAATGAACAGAAGAAGCATGAGATCAATACTCTTCGGACTCAGTTGGGAGAACAACGATCTTCTTCACGCTCTTCCAACTTCGAGAACGGTTCTTCATCTTCTCAACGTTTCTCCTCACTATCAAACGCCCAAAACGCGTCGCCCACGCCCCAAAATCGACCGAAAAATCACCAACCAGTCGATATTAATCAACAGATCCGGCGACTTTTGTTCGACGACGTCAAGGAGAATATGGCACATTCTTCGTCGTTCCCAGCCTCTTTGTGTAGTTCAGTCCATTCGGCAAATATTTTGAATTCTAGTCCGAATCAGTTCATTCACAGATCACCCATACCTCCATCAGCATCGTACTTATCGAGTTTGAGCGCCGGAGGACAGCCACATCATCAGAATGTGAATTGGCAGCCGGTTAACAGTGGTGGTACTACGCCAAGGCCGGTGCACCAGACTACGTCGTTATTTGCTCAGCCAACTAATAGCAGCAGGTAAGGTTGTATATAGTATAGTACTTACTTTTAGGGGTACTATATAGTACTAAATTTGTTTTTGATACTGTATAGTACTCAGCTCGATGGGGCAATTAGTACTGGTTTTTTGGTGCAAAAAAGCACTGAATCGAAATTTTTTCAAATTTTATGCTACAGTATGATACAATACGACTTTTTTCAGTTTTGTCCCAGCCTCAACTGCAGCTCGTCAACTGGCGGCCGAACTGGACGAGATTAGACGAATCGGTGGAGAAATGCAATATCACAATCATAATGGGCAAAGTTCGAGTTTGCCACGGCCATTACATTCTAAGGTATGTTTAAATTTTTTTTTGCTTTTAAAAATTATGGAATTTGCACTTTTGACCAGTTTTTTTATTTTGCACCGTGCAAAGGCTTAAAATAGTGCACGGTGCAAAGAATTTTTTGACGTTTTTTGCCATTTTTTATGTTACCTGGAAATAATAATAGATTGAAAAATTATTTAATGGTTTGATTGCTTAATATTTTTATCAAGATATTTTATTTTCAGTCCATATCTGCCTTAAATCTACCCCGTCCAAGGCTTTCAGCTACCAGTTCCACTCATATTGGAGGTAAGTCGGCTTATATTAATGTACCGTGTGAAATTTTGTTCTCTGTGAGACAATAAAACCGATTTTTTCAACTACAATATTACTCTTGTATAACGACTAACCTTCTTTCTTGAGCAATTTGTTATACAGGAGTTCTACTGCATAGTATTGTACAAAAAACCTGTAACTAAGTTAATATAATGTAGAAAATCTATATCTGTCAATTTCTAATTCTAATTTTACAAAATTTTAATTAAATTTCCAAAATTTAGATGATTTTTTGGCTAAAGCCAAGCTGTCCCAATCCACTCCAAATTTAAATAGCGACTGCCGTGACTTGAACAGTGAGAGTTTGTTGTTAAGCTTGCTAACCAAAACAGTAAAAGTGCTATTTTAAAAAATGAGAAGATATTTTTTAAAAATATTTTTAGTTTTTAAAAAATGATTTTTTTTATTTTGTTGAATTGAGTAGCATTTTTACTATAATATTTTTTGGCCTACTTAACAGTGACTTACTTAACATTACTGGCTATTTTTGGGTTTGATTTTGTTACTTTTTTATTTTTTTGGTTTAAGTTTTGTTTTAATCCTATACCTGCTATAGTATTCCGCCTTAGTCTTAGATCTAGCCGTAGTCCTATTCTTAGCCAAAGCTCTATCGTAGCTTTGCCATAGCCTAGGCCAGTATTTGCCGAGTTTTCAGTCTTAGCTCTGCCTCTTCTTTAGCTTTTTCTAGTGCTGCCTAGCCTTGCTTTGCCTTCTCTTGTCTTGTTCTTTCTGCTCTGTTCCGCTCTAGGCCGAGCCTTACTCTAGTTTTCTTTTAGCATTACTTTAGCTTTATTCTAAATTTAACTTGTCTTAAACACTATCACTATTTTAGTTGTACTTATTCGTAACATGTTCTATTAAAACCGTACTAGTCTTAATCATACCCTACTTTAAAATAACAGTACTAGTCTTAATATTTTGAGTTGAATGGGTTCTTAAAAAATTTTTTAAAAGTTTTTTGTTAAAAAATATTTTTCATTTTTTAACTACTGTTTATTTCAACTTATCATTGATTATGTAATCTCTAATAAAACACTAATTTTCAGCCGACAGTGACGACGAACTTTCTCGCTCCCGCCCCAAGACCAGTGACACTTTAAAGCGAGGGCGCACCCGTTCAACTCTTCGCAATCTCTTCGGCAAACTAACTCGCTCCACCTCTCAAGAAATCCGCTCGCACCCCTTCCAACGTGGCTTAAAATCATCGGCCAGTGCTCGAGTAGTATCATTAGGTGCGCCACTAGCCGGCGCGGTACCAGTACGACCATTAGCACGAATCTTCTGTGAATGGCCAACCGAGACTGTCATTGAATGGCTGAATGAAGTTGGGTTTGGTCAATATGTTGAAGAAGCCGCGAAGCACGTGGCGACCGGTCGATACTTGTTGAACATGAATATGAACGAGATGGAGAAGGAGTTGGGCATCAGAAGCGGGCTACACCGGAAGAAGCTGAGGTGCTTGTTGAATTGTATCGACAGGAACTATAGCAATGTGGCTGAGCCTGCTGACAATATGGATAGTCATCAGGTAATGGTGGGGAGAGAGGGAAATGAAAGGAACTTTGTTTAAAGGTTTTAAAATGGCAAAAACGTTCTTTACAAAGCATAAAATGGCAAGAACTTTCTTTACAAAACATAAAATGGCAAGAACTTTCTTTACAAAGCATAAAATGGCAAGAACTTTCTTTACAAAGCATAAAATGGCAAGAACTTTCTTTACAAAGCATAAAATGGCAAGAACTTTCTTTACAAAACATAAAATGGCAAGAACTTTCTTTACAAAGCATAAAATGGCAAGAACTTTCTTTAAAAGATAAATGATAGTAAGAATATTCCTTCAGGTAATGCTATGGCTCGACGACATTGGTCTACCCCAACTTCGCGACGTCTTCGCCGAGAACATGATCGACGGTCAGATGTTGGTCTACCTCACCGTGCAAGACCTGGTTGATATGAAGGTGACATCAGCCATGAACCATGCCACTTTGGCACGTGGGATCCAATTCCTTCGGTCGGTCGATTTCAATTCTCATCGCATTGAGAAGAGCTTCAACCTGGACATTCTTCAAAAGCCTCAAGCACCAGAAGAAGTCGAGAAGTGGGCCTACACGTGTGTAGTACAGTGGCTGAAGAACATTGATCTGGCTGAGTTTACACCCAATTTAATGTTCAGCGGAGTTCATGGGGCTCTTATTGTGAGTGTTTGTAAAATACGAAGTTCCTTTTAATTAGTTGAATTATGAATTTTTTGTTAAAACTGCAGTAACTTTCTTTACAAGCTGAAACATAACAACAGATGTTTTTAAAAAACAAAAAATGGCAAGAACTTTCTTTACAAAACGAAAAATGGCAAGAACTTTCTTTACAAAACAACAAATGACAAGAACTTTCTTTACAAAAAAGAAAAATAAAAAAGTTATATTCAGCGTATAACTTATTTTTCGAGCCTGCAAAACACAAGATTTAAGATATTTTTGATGCAAATGGAAAAAACTTTCTTTACATCTTAACTTATTGAACTTTCTTTTTATTTGACTTAAAAACGGCAAAAACTTTGTTTACAACATTAAAAATCAGAAAAAACTGAATTTCATATTTTATTAAGGCTTATTTAAAAAAATTGAAATTTATATTTAAAAAAAAGTTTAAATCGCCATTTCAGGTCCACGAGCCAACCTTCACAGCCGAATCGCTAGCTGAAGTTTTACAAATTCCAGCTCATAAAACGTTGTTGCGACGACATTTGACAACTCATTTCAACAAATTGTTGGGTCAAGACATTATCAGTCACAAACGAGATGTTTTGGCTCAACCTCATGTCACATATCTGTCTCCTACACTCAAAATTAAGGTATGTTTTTGTGGTTTTTAGGTAAAAAAAATTAGGGGTTTTGGGTATTTTAGGTAACAAAAGTTGGTGTTTTGGGTAGTTTGGTTAACAAAATTAGCATTTTTGAGGTTTTTAGGTAACAAAAAGAGGGGTTTTTAGTATTTTAAGTGACTAAAATAGGATTTTTGAGCTTTTTAGGTAACAAAATAGCTTTTTTAGTATTTTGGGCAACAAGATTTTTTCAATGAAATTTTTTAATTTGCAGGTACTCAAAAAAGGCTTTTCATTAACAAGAAAGAAGGCTAAGAACGAGGTACTAGTGGAACCAGACGTCTCAGTTTGTCCTGGAACGCTACCTATTCAAGTAAGTTAAAAAAATTTAATTTTTAAAATTTTTGTTACTTAAAATAGTTTTTTATTATTCATGAAGAAAATTTTTAGTTATCTGATTAAAAATGGCATAAAAACGGATTTAAAAACTGAAATTTTAAAATTTTGAAATTTAAAAAAATTGAAATTTTAAAATCAAAATTTGTAGCTCCACTCCACTAGTTCCTTAAGTTCATATGCCGACCCAACTAGTAACGTATAAGCATGGTAAAATGCCATTTCCTTTGTTGTGTTCTACGCGTCATGACCGCGACGATCGGTCAGCCAAATCCCAACCTCAGGTCCTGACACCCATTCAGTGTCATAACATAAAGTAATTCTAATTGATATGAAAAGAAATGTGATATTTGTATAAATTTGGATAACAAAATGTTTAAAAATTAATTTTTGTGGAATGTGGCTCCGTATTTTACTTTACATTATTCTACCTTACTCTATCCTACTCTACTTTACCCTACCCTACCTTACTGTGCCCTAATTTATCCTACCTTACCCTACCCTATCTTACCTTAACTGACCCTATTCTGCCTTACCCTACCTTACCCTATCTTACTCTACCCTACTCTACCTTACCCTACCCTACCTTGCCTTAAATTACCCTACACTACTTTGCCTTACACTACCTCACGCTACAATGCCTTACCCTACCCCTCTTGTACCCTGCTGTTCTACTCTCTATACCTCAACCTACCTGACGCTACTTTGCTCTTTTTTACTCTACATTACCGTATCTTATCTTACCCTAGCCTACTCTACCCTAACTTACTCTTCCCTATTCTACTTACTATTATATTTTCTGTCGTTCTCTGTTGTGCTGCAACTTTAACTTTATTCATATCCATAGCCTTAGTCTTTCTCATATCCTTAGATTTAGATGTATTCTAGCTCTATATTTGCTTAAATATACCATTGTGTTACCTAGGGTAACTTAAAAGGTAACTTACCCTATCCTCGCTCACTCTTTTTCTTTTTTAACTTGATAAAAACTTTACAGTAAAGATAACCTTATATAGCTGTGTATGACATATCATTTCGTATTTTCATCTTTTTTTACTTCCTTCTCTCGATCCGTGAACAATATCGTAAAGATCAAAGAAAAAACGACTATTCCAATGTGACTTTTAAATTGGAATAAAGTTGAATTTGGCAGCTCGTAAAAAGCATCTGGACTTGATTGGACCTCCAATGTATATGTTGGCCATTACTGAGCGTCGTAATTGTAACTTGTGGGAATAGTCGTACTCTTTGGGGACTTGTTTCTCTCTATTCTTTTATCATTTCTATTTTGGTAATGTTGTTATTGTGTTGGACAAAGTGATATGACAAATAGGGGGAAATGAATTGTTTTGTTTTAACTTTGTATTGTTTTTACTAGGGGTTGTGGCTGGGCTAGGTAAATTTTGGGTACAGGAAGGTAAAAAGAAAAATATGATGGTAAGGTAAAGTAAAATAAAGCATTGTAAGTCATGGTGAGGCAGGATTAAGTAATGTAAGAGAAATTGTAATATATTATAGTTAGTTCTTGAAAGGTTACAGTAGCTTATTGCACAGTAAGACAAGGTTAGAGAACAGTACTTTAAGATATACATGATAGGTTAGGCTGGGGCAGTGCAGGACAGGGAAGGATACGGTAAGGTAGGGCAAGGTAAAGTAGGGTAAGGTAGGGTAGGGTAGGGTAGGGTAGGGTAGGGTAGGGTAGGGCAGAACAGCGCAGGGTGGATAGAGCAGGGTAGGGTAAAACATAGCAATGTAAGCTATAGTTAAAGTATGGCAGGCATGATAAATAAAAAAAGTTTTCAACTGGTTACAGTAAGACTAGTCTTTTCAATTCTAACTACCCAAAACAAAAGCTCACGAAACTCTTTGAGTCACCTTAATAAATCTTTTTTTGTTTTAATGAAAATTGCTATAAATTTGCTCGAAATTCTTGACCTTGCATTGCGCGATCATCGAGAAAGTCGTCTTGACCATTGTTTATGAACCGCCGGGCTTTGATCGACTTTGCGCTGACGCGTTTACGACGTTTTTATTGAAGCGGTTTATTCAACTTGTAAGTTATCTTTGGGATTAAGGAATGTAGTGTTTAAAGGCATGGGTGGGAGGGTGATTTTGGTTTTTAGAGAGAGGGGAAAGGGGCGGAAGTGGTGAATGAATTGTAGAAAGGTAGGAGTAAGTAGGGGTGAGAAACGGGCTGGGCCCACATTTGGGGCATTGCCTAGAGGTCTAGGTTAAGTTTAAATTTTTTAAAGTTGAATGTAGACTGTCTAATCTGTTTTATCATGACAGTCCTAGAAATTCTCTTCCTTTTCTCCTTTCCAAATCTACCCAGCCCTCTTCTAACCCCGATCCTACCAAACCCATACTCTACTCTACCCTACCCTACCGAACTCCTCAGTCCTAGTCTTTCCCTGCTTCAAGCCCTAGCCTTACACTGCCATGCCTTGTCCCACACCCATACCCCAAACCAACTCGTTATCCCATAGGCCTATCTTCAATCCTACCACAATTTAAGCCTAAACCACAATTTTTTTCACCTTTGCTTAAACCCAAATCTACTACCTGAATTCGGATTAACCTCGCATCATCACTCTTTTTTGATGGAACTCATTTTAATTAAAGAGTTTCTTTTCGAGTGACCGCTCTCACTTCGAACATGCCCTGAGGCAAGAGAGAAAGAGAAAAAAGCAAAGGTCTGTTCGAGAAAACGAACTGATCGTCCCATTCCTTTGGCCTTCAGGGTCAATTCGGCTTGTTTTTGCGGAAAATTGGAGCAGTTTTATAATTTAGGCTTTTGATTTAGTTTAGGCCTAGCCTTAGGGTTCAGTTTGTCTTTAATTCAAGCGCAAGCTCTAGCCTTTTACCTAGTCTTGCCCTAGCCTTGTTTTAGCCTTGTTCTAGCCTTGCCTAGCCTAGTCTAGGCTTGCCCCAGCCTTGCCCTAGCTTTGCCCTAGCCTTGCCCTAGCCTTGCCCTAGCCTTGCCTTAGCCTTGTCCTAGCCTTGCCCTAGCCTTGCCCTAACCTTGCCCTAGTCTTGCCCTAGCCTTGCCCTAGCCTTGCCCTAGCATTACCTGATCCGCGTTCTAGCCTCATCTTTGTCTCCTTAGTTAGAACGATAGATCTAGCCTTTGCTTTAGGTATACCATAGTCTTGTACCAACTTACCATAACTATGTTCTACCATGCCTTTGCCCATTTCTGGTAATACCATAACTCAACTTTGGCTTTTCTTGCTTTTGCTTATCCTCACCCTTGCTCGTCTCTAACCTTGAATTTACCTTACCCTTACCTTGTTTTAGCCCTACTCTGGCTCTAAATTTTTTCTTATACAGCCATATGACATAGGCAATGGACATAGTAATAGTTTTTTGTCATAACATTTTATGATGATCTGGCGGCACATTAAAGAGGAGTAAAAAGTAAATAAATGTATTTTTTCGACAATAAAAATAAAGTTGTTTTAAGAGCCGCAGGACATAAAAGCTGTTGTAAAATGCATTACTTTTTAATGCTTTAATAAAAAAAACTTTTTTTTGCGTTTTTACTTTTGTTGGGTTAAAAAAAAGTTTGACTGCATAGAGGGGTGTTTAAAAGTTAACTACATAGAGGAGTGCTGTTTTTAAGAGTTTTTTATATTTAGATGTTGACGACGTAAAGTAATACTAATACAATAAAACTAGCAGCTAACAATATTGGTTTGACACGATTTATGCAGCGTGAATAATGTCAGATTGGTGTTATAATAAACAAAAAACATGAATCACCTAGTTTAACATAACTGCTTTTTACTTTTTTGCTTTTTTGGTTACTATCTTTTAGGCTACCGTTATGAAGCGAAGCCTGTTTTAGTTATAGCGCAAGCTTGAAGTTGTGATTTAGCTTTAGCCTTACCTTTAGCTTTAGTCTTACTATTATCCTTATCCTTAGTCTGTGTCTAAGCCGCAACGTGAAAATAAGCCTGATTTTAAGCTTCAGCCTTAGCCTGATTAGCCCTAGCTACAGTTCTAGCGCTAGCCCTAGTTCACTTGCACCTATACGTTATATCTTTGATTTTAAGTTAAAACTGCCTGCGTATCTAACAATCTTAAAATATTCATACATAGTCCTTCAAGTACAACTTATCCAAACAAATATCCCGTAAAGTTAATAGATTATTCAAATATCAAAGACAAACTTTTTTGGTTTAAACATCCGTCCGTTTTCTTTTGGCCGCTCCTCTCGGAATTCCCGAGATTCGGTGTGAAATCTCGAGTAGGGTCCGGCGGGTTATGAAGTAGCTCCCCATCTCAATATCCTCCTCCAAAATCCACAAGTTTCAGTTTGTTTTTTGCGGGTCATTTTTGAATTTCGTGTCGGTTTTTGAATTTCGGGTCGGTTTTTTTTTATATTGGCTCAGTTTGGGTCATTTTTGGTTCGAAAACTTTTTTTTTAAAGTCGGGCGGACATTGACATTTTTGGGTGTGGACAATTCGAAACGTTTGACGCGCTCAATTTCCGGTTGGTGCCGGCTGAGGGGTTTAGTTGACATTTTATAGTAGTGTTTTTTATAAATTAAATTGTTGTTTTTGAAGTGATGTCATTAGGTAGGGGTGGGCGAGTGTTTGGTCTAAGCGGCAAAACTAGGTCTGAAGCATGATTTAGGTTAGGGTTGAAGCCAGGATAAACCAAATCTAGGCGACGCTAGACTCATAGGTTAAAGTTAGAGCTAAGGCTTGGTCTAGAACTAAAACCAGGTTTAAAGCTAGGGCTAGAACTAGACCTAGAGCTAGAGCTAGCGCTAGAGCTATAGCTAGAGCTAAAGCTAGAGCTAAAGCTAGAGCTAAAGCTACAGCTACAGCTACAGCTACAGCTAAAGCTAAAGCTAGAGCCAGAGCTAAAGCTAGAGTTAGAGCTAAAGCGAGAGCTAAGGTTTTGGTCTGGAATCAATGCTAGAATCTGGACTAGAATTTGGGCCAGTACCAGAACTAGGACTAAAACCATAACTAAGGTCAAGACTAGAGCTAAACCCAGGATAACGATCAGAACTAAAGCCAGGACCAGGACTGAGGCCGGCACCAAGGATAAGGCTAGGACCTAGAACGAGAATTGCCGGACACTAGTTAAAAGGTTTAAAAAAGGCTGTAGGATAAGATTAAAGCTAAAGCTTAACTGGGGCTAAAAATTTAATTTTTTTAAATTTCAAAATTTTCATTTTTAGTTTAAAGTTT